TTCCCAGAGAAGGTTTTCTGTGGGGTTTATTCCTCAGCTCTACCATTGCTATTTCTGGCTTAGCGAAGTCAAATAGAATTGAAACTGGGCGTTTCATGTGGAATTCATCCAATGCTACTATATCGTTGTAACACAGTATGAAATGTCCTAGTGGGTTTAGGCCTTTAATCATTGCATTGTCATCTGATCTCATGAAATATGCTCATTTTTTTAAAAATCAAAACCATTGCTAATATTGTTGTACAGTTGACAGATTTTATGTTCACTTCAGCAAAAAAGCATTATTGTTTAATTTGTTCAGGTTGTGTTCTTTGTATATATAATGTTGTAAAGCCTAATTTTGATGCTAACTGTTAAACAAGCTTTCAATGGAGCTAGTTTTGCATTTCCATTTTATGTTATTATTTACAAAAATTTCTCTTGATGCTAACAGTTTAATTTGTGGTATTTTTGTGTAATTGTGCTTTTATAAGCTGAAAGGTCTATTTGCTGGTAAATCATTCATTTAGACACTATATCAGTTTAAAATTCTGCATTTCACTATTCAATGTTCTGATAACTTAGGCTATATAGATATATACCATGATTTTTTTTTTTTTCCATCCTAAATTTCATCCATGTTCATATAACGTTCTTGTAGATTCATGATTTGAATAGGCACAAATCTTTCGAGTCTAAGAAAACCCTAGCTTGATAAAAAACATTTTTAAAACTAGCTTTTATAAAAGCGCACAACTGAATTTGGGGATGTTTTAGTCCTTCACTAGTCTTCAAGAATTTTGAAATTTTTTTACACTTTCATACTGCTGATGTATTTAAATAAACATGATACAATGTAAAATATAAATTTTATTTCATGTAAAAAGCAGTTTTCCAGTTTTGCATAATATGCATTTTTTATCATTTGTGTTCAACTGTCTGAACTTTTCAGTGTTTATGAATATAAGTTAAAAGTAAAATCCTAGATATTTTGTTCTGTGTGTTAAGGTGTGTGACTAGTATGATTGAAGTTACTCACAGGAAAAAAAAGGAACAAAATATAACACTTGTTTTCATATGATATTGTTCAAAAGAAATGATAATTTAAAAGAGATTCACATGAAGTTGTTTTCAATGGTTTTGTGGGGTTTAGAAATGTCAGTAAATGACACCTGTCACAACTAACTCTCACCCCAAAGGTTTTGTGTTAGTGTAATGCCATAATGTGGTCAAGTTTTTTATGAAATAACCAAAAATAACCACTGTGTCTTCAAGTCTTCATGTTACAGCATTCAGGCCAGAAGACCTTTTCTTATACACCATTAACTTTCAACTTTTAATTTTCAGACTTAAAGGGGCAGATTCGCCATTTTTCGGAGGTTGATTTGGGTCTTGCATATATGTTAATATTAGATACGTACAAAGATCAATAATTTCTTCAAAAATACCTCAATCTTGGAATTTCCATTTCTATATGTGTCTTTTTTTATATATGGCTCTAATTTTGATAGTGAGCTGCAAACACTATTACTGATAAGCTTAGCTTAAATTCCTGTTTCTTACTAAGGTACGATTGTTCAAACAGATGGCGAATCTGACCCTTTGGTTGACATTAAAGAGTATGCCTCATATATATTTGTTTCTTAGTACTTTGTTTTTGGAATAATAGTAATATTAACATAATTTTGACTAATTACCCCCTCATGTTGGTATATTTATCAATATTTTTTTTTTCATCAAGAAAATCCTGATGTCAGATCTAGTGCTTATTTTTATACTAAATTTTTTTTTGTGTTCTTTTATTATTGTATTCTTTTTTATCCAAAAATATGTCACTAAGTTTACCAATATTAGGCATTGATGTAACATTTTATAAGCTATAAAAAAATTTAAAATACTACAGCATAATCTACTGTCTACTAAAATATGCTTTAGCACATGGTCCTTGTCGCTATCCAATTGTAGGTAAAACAAAATTTTCAATACTATGATATTAATTCATTCTCTTGTAGTTTTCATTATGTTTGTTATTTTGTAAACATATATGAACCTTTGTTTTTATATTAAACACCATATTTAATAAAATCTCAAATATAACTGATTTGTCTTTATGATGTTATGGGTAAGAGAAAGGTTGCTGTCCTAGGTGGTATCACTTTTACATATATTCAAATTGCAGACAATGCAGGATTTATGTCTAGCCACACATTCAATTTATGTGCATCAAAAGTTTGATCAAATGACCTGTCTTTTTCCCTTTCTCCATGTTTTATTCTAAGAGATCTGAGGGACATTCTTAAATTCCCCAGCACCCCCCGCCACGGCACACTACACCACTGGTTAGGTGTTTCATATTGACATTGTGCTAAAAACGAGTGTGCCTAAGTCACTGTAAAAAAAAATACACACTTAAATGATTGAATAAGTTTAAAGACACTATGTTTTGTATAGTATTTTTCTG